TTCTGAATGCGCGCCTTTCCGCCCGCCTGCACCAACCAAAATCGGTCAGCAGTGACCACTTATACAGAATGGATTTGTCCGTCGATATTCAGTGTCCTCATACATTCAAATGCGTTTTATAGAAGACGTACACAGAATATCCTTTTAGTAATTTAGTAGCACTTCAGTCTTTAGATTTTCCGTTCGGAAAAAAGTATCTTGCGGTCTTAACAAAGAGTTTCAGTTGTCGAGTATTTATGAGCCTGATCTGCTGTTGCAGTAGCGTTTAGAATTCTCAAACTCCAAGTTGTAGACCTCATATGCAAGGAAAATGATGTCCGTCTATTTTATTAAGGATATATGATCTAGCGTTTGTAGAGTGTGTCAATGGGCGTGAGCCATGTTCTATACGCCCTAAACAGCTTTAATAAGCGAACGAATGTGGTACTGTTTGAATTAACATTTCACGGTCTCGAGAAATCTCATAATTGCGACCTTTTTAAAACCGGAATATATTTGGATTTGAATGCGTAAGGGCCATCGAAGATCGACGGAGAAAATTCATACTACTTAAGCAGTTACTATATGCCGGAATTCTTGTGTGGGATCATGCAGCACGATAATCAATATTAAATTAGCATCTGGGTAATTCCTTTTCATCGAAAACACATTTCAGGATCCCGGCCAACCTTTCATGAGGTACATTACATACTACTCACTTACTATTTTCCTAATGTACTTTATACGAATGACTGAGAAGCTACTTTATTGAAGGCCTCCATGCTACTGCCTATGAGTTGACTTGGGATTCTGTTCCCTACCGTTACGTTTTGTAACTTCACCTGAATAATCTACGTTTGAGACGTATTGAAAACCCTCCATCAATGTTAAGTGTGTTGTGATGCCTACTGCACCTTGATTTCCGAAATGTTTACTCCCCGGAGCAAGTTGCCTACACAGGCTCCGCCGTCAGTTATCAGGGCCTGAGAGACGACGTAAGCACATACTAGTGCAACCACCTTGGTGCCGGTAGATTACTTCTGTCATCCTTTTGTCAGTTACGTAAGAGTGGTCCGCACATATCTGTGCTGAACGCGGAACAGAGGTGAACATTTCTGCTTTACCTTGGGGCTGGATGTCGATGGTCCAGCCAGAGTATTGCGAGCGACAGACAATCAGTCACTCACAAGTGTTACCAACAAAGTCTGGAGTCACTGGAATAGGCAGTTCCGGTTTACTAGCCGTCATCACCCAATGATGTCCTCAGTGCGCTAGTACCCGAGTCTTGATGCAGATCCAGCGGATTGACTCTCCAAAGGTAAAACTTAAGTGCCACCCTCCTTCCGGCAATGAAAATCGATGAGTTAGCGCTGCTCTTATGTGTCTTCATTCTATATTGCATGCACCCTGTCACTCATTCCGCATAAACTCAAGACTGGCTGGACTTATGCGGTTTCGTACACCTGGATGCCGGCTTGCTGACACGCGCTTTGCCGGTTCAACTTCTAGTTAGCTCCATGTTATGAATATGTGTAGAATTCACTAATCCAAGGGATAAGCTTTCAAAATTAGTTGGAGTACTATTCCCCTTATTCCACAGTATGTGGGCTAACTCATGAAATGTCAACCGAGATTCCAAAATGCCTTTTCGTTTCAAAAAGATTAATTAATTAGGGTTGTAAAACTAGTCAGCCCGCAACATAATTCCATAATATTTTAATTACCTCAGGATGGCGGCTTTCGAATGAACTTCCTTTC